AGTTCAAATTACTTAATGGTGGAGATAAAATTTAGATTGAGCTCAACCCAATTGTACCATTACTACAATGAGAACATGCTCACCTAATTTCCCATTTTCAAGATGTCTGCTTTTTATAAATACATTATATTCTAATTATTTCGTTAACAAGTTCACATGAATATTTCATTAAAATTTATAAATACCTCAAAAATCATATCTTTAAAATAATTAAAATCGATTTAAAATTTTCTTTTATTCTTTTTTAAGAGTAAACCAAATTATAAGAATCAACTTCAAGGCTTAGTAAGTCTGTTTGAAGAGAAGCTTCGGAGTGGGAGAGCTTTTTTTGCAATTACAGGAATTTTTTTTAAAAATAAACTATTGACATGAATTAGTTTTTTTTTTTATCAATATACATCCTACTAAATTTTGGTTTAAAACCATGAGGTAGCATTCAGTATTTTTTAAAAATGTTTTCAGAAGGCTTATATTTAAGGACATAAATTACTCCGAATATCCTTTGGATAGTCTTTCTCTTTTGTTTTTTTGTCTAGACCAACGCGCAATGCTCGTCCACAAAAATGACGTGGGTTTGACTAGGAGCATTTACTTAAAACCGCCACGTCAGATACCTCCTCCACGTCAGTGGATAAATCCTTTTCCTCCTCCTCCTGCCGTGTAGACGCACAGTATATTATGACACATTGGCGTTCAAAGACAGATCTGTCATTTTAATTTCTCGCTTTTTTGTCAACACTTCCTTTTCACGCGTTTCGCTCCTCTTTATAGCCTCGCCTCTTCATTCCTCTGGTTTTATCTTATTTCCCCGGAAAATCTCTCCGTTTCCGATTAATGTTGCCGTTCTAGGGCTTTGAATTCGTCGTTAAGGTGTGTTCTGTTCCCTCCTTCGGTTTCGGTTTTCTTTCTTGCGCCTTTTGAGTTTCGCTGGTTAATGATTGATTGAAACTTTTAATTTGTTATTTGTGTATATTGTTGCTTGCAGATTTGCATTCAGATCGTCGCTGATGAATTTAGGATTTATTTTGGAGAGTAAACAGGTGATGATGGCTGAGAGTAGAAGATATGCTGCCAATCAACAACTAGGTCGGTTTATTCAATCTGTTCATTCTCTGTTTCTATTTTTGCTTCTTTTTTTTTTTTTTTTTTTTTTT